TAAGACTATGCTGTGCAAAGTCATGAGCAATTGCATAATAAAACAATATGAACTACTCCAATGCAGCATGCATCTTCCTGAATGAATGACCCCAACAACCCATTGTAAAATATTATAATTTATTGTAATGGTTAAATCTTAGTATCATTATTACTTGTTTCCAAAACCAGTCAAAGGATTTAAAATGATAAAAGGTACAAGTGACAAAACATTAAGAAATCAAAAATGGCAGGCTTTATTCAATTTATGCACAGACAATATCAACTTTTTTCAGATATGAAGTAGAATAGATATGGTGTACATTATAAAGTTAACAATAACAAACATTAACGACCAGAATTTCAATGACAATCCTGCTCCGACTATTTCCAGGATCCCTGTGTGGATTTTATATTGAACAGGGGCAAAGGAGCAACCGCTTTGACTTATACAGTCATAGAATCACAGAGATGTAAAGCACGGAAACAGATCTTTTGATCCAACTTGTCCATGCCGACCACAAATCCTAAATTAATCCAGTCTCATTTGCCAGCATTTGGTCTATATCCCTCTAAACCTTTCCTATTCATGTACCCATCCAGACTTAAAAGGCATGGACGATTTGGACTGAAGAGTCTGTTTCCGTGCTGTACAGCTCTATGAGTCTACTAGTCAAGGTGATAGCTCCTTCACTTCTTGTACAATATAGACTTACTCCCTTTAAAGGTTGAAATCCTGTGTCCGAGAGTAACTGGGGTTGGTGAGGCCAAGATAATTGTTTCAATGGGGGAGGCCATCGCTGCCAAGGTACACCATTTATATGAACATACAAACAAGGAATGGAGGAGGTTGTTCAACTTTCGAGCCTGCCCCACCATTTGATAAGACTGTGGCTGATTTGATTGTAACCTTAAACCCATATACACGCCCAACTGAATAGAGGGACCCCATGAGCTGAGCTCACAAGAAGATGACCAAGTTTTACATGATGGTCTCCCTACATGGTGGAGAGCCCACCCGCTGCTGTTAAAATTGCCAGTGATGGCTGGCAGAGGGTACAGACCCTTAATTAACTACTTTAGCACCTCAACAGCTCCTCTGTACAAAAGAATTGTTCACCACATTCCCAGCTTCTGACAAAATGCCACAGCAATGGTCAGGTGATGGGCATGCCAGCCCCGTTTTCTCACCTGATTTTCCACCCCCCACCCATTCCCTCAACCCTCTCACTTAAATTCTAGGAATTCACACCACTGGCTCAGTTCTTCCTTGTGGGATGAATGGCGGAGTAATTTCATGGTGGAGTGTCAATGGGTTAGTTCACTGCCCTTCCACTGATTTAGAGCTAACTCCAACAATCATATATCAATGGGTAATAATAATATGATTTCTATTTATTTTGTATCATTCTATGTGAAAACATCTCAACTATGACTGTTATTATCTGGGGCATCTACATAAAAGCTACAATGGTTAATTCTATATTTAAACTTCTGCATGTCAGATGCATATAGTTCCAGTGGGAAGAAGTGAATACATTATTGCTGATGGAATTCCATATGGTGTTTCTGAACTGATACAGGTCACAGATGACCAAATTGATCCAAAAAACAGTTTGTAACTTTAAATCTGATAATGTAGGTTTCTGTGTAAATCTGCTTTTCAACTTAAACTGTGGTCAGTCAGGTTTTCTCTGTGTTCCTGCCAACTTAACTGAAGTGAAGACTTGATGGATTCAGGAGGTAGTTGGTTCTACATCTACCTCCCGGACATATCTGCTTGCCAGAGCATGATTGGGGCCCATCCAAATCCACCTTTGTCTGAGGCTTCTGATCCACCACCCTCCCATCAAAAGGCCTCCTCCCCCCTTAAGACCCACTGTGCCCTCTGACATGTCTGCTCCCTCTATTGAAGCTCCTTGGTCACCTGCTCTCCACAGACCCACCACCAGTACTGAACCAGTGCTAAACACAGGGATCAACTCCCTGCCTAACTCGAGACCCAGCTCATAGAATCCTCATAGAACCCCTTTAGTGCAGAAACAGGCCATTTGGCCCATTGAGTCTACACCGACGTTCTGAAGAGAAACACATCCAGTCCCGACCCCAACCCTATCCCTGTAACCCTCCATTTCCCATGGCTAATTCACCTAGCCTGCACAACCTGGACACTCTGGGCAATTTAGCATGGTCAAACCACCTAACCTCACATCTTTGGGCTGTGGGAGGAAACCGGAGCACATAGAGGAAACCCTCACAGACACGGGGAGAACGTGCAAACTCCACACAGACAGTCGCCTGAGGGTGGAATTGAACCCACCTCCCTGGTGCTGCGAGACAGCAGTGCTAACCACTGAGCCACCATGTTGTACCTGTCAATCACATTGTGTGTGGAACTGACCATTGGCTCTGCTAAAACTCCACAGTGTGGTAGGAGGCACAAACTATGGTTGTGCCCAGAATTTCTGATTGATCTGCTCCTATCAGGCCAGTGGAAATTCAAGTGGAGGTAAATTCTTCCTGCTGTTCTGGGCACAGGACATTTATCCTTCAACCAAAGACACTTAAATAGATTAACTGGTCAGTTATTTTTGAACTGTCAGGAATATGAGGATCGTAACAAGTGTCTATCTGCCTTAAAAATATTTGAGGACTTTGTTTCCACCAGCTTTCCAAGAAGAGAGTTGCAAAGGCACATGACCATCTGGGAAAAATCTCCTCGTCTCTCTCTTAAATAGGTGACCCTGATTTTTGAACATTGACCTCAAGCTAATTGTGATCAATTAGCTTCACAATATATGATAACATTCTCTTAGCTTAATTACTTGCTGTACCTACACACTAACCTTTGGGATTCATGCATGAGGACACCCAGATCCTCAGCATCTCAGAGCTCTGCAATCTCTCCTCATTTAGACAATATGTTTCTCTTTGACAGTGATAAAATCTACTCTCTAGATTCCTTCATAGAGAGTAAACATCCTCTCCACATCCACCCTGTCAAGACTCTTCAGGATCTAATATCTTTCAATCAATCTGTTTCTTACTTTTATACATTGCAGCAGAGACAAGCTTAGCCTGTCCAACCTTTCCCCTCTGTCAAATCCTCTTATTTCAGGTATTAGACTGGTAAAACTTCTCTGAACTGCTTCCAACACATTTACATCTTTTCTTAAACAAGATGACCAATACCATTCACAGTACTCTAGATGAGGTCTCACTAGTGCCCTGTAAATTGTAGCATAACCTCCCTACTTTTGTGATCAATTAGCTTCACAATATATAACATTCTCTTAGCTTAATTACTTGCTGTACCTACACACTAACCTTTGGGATTCATGCATGAGGACACACAGATCCCTCAGCATCTCAGAGCTCTGCAATCTCTCCTCATTTAGACAATATGTTTCTCTTTGACAGTGATAAAATCATGAGCATATCTCCTAAAGGTATATTAACCTACCAGCTGTAAGACATAGACAATATATATTGTGTGGTTACTAAGCCACGCAGATAAATATGGTTAAAGAGATTCTATATTTTTTACTGGAAGAAGGCAAATAGATTTATCTAGTACTGTTTTATGTCTACAAGACTTCAAACTCACTTTGCAATGAATGAAGTATTCACTCGTGTAATGTAGGAAGCAGTACAATCATTTTGCACACAGCAATGTCCCACAAGCAACAATAAAGATCCTGGCAAAATAATCTGATTTATTGCTGATGTTTGAAGGCTGTCGCTTGGTCATGAAACTTTTGGACTTCTTCCTCCTGCTCCCTTGCAAACAGAATCTTTGAGAGAGCAGCCAGGGTCTCAATTTAACAATTCCCCAAGGATTGGCACCACTGATAGTACAGCACTCTTTCATTTCTGGGTTGGAGAGCTAGCTTGGATGATATGCTGAAGTCGCTGGAGCAAGACTTGAACCCATGACTTCTGGATGCAAAGATACACGTGGTACTGTGAGAGTCAACCTCCGCTAAATGAAAATAATGACTTCATCTTTTTAAGAAGATTATGATTCAGTTCAATGGAAATATTCAGCAGTTATTTGGTCACTACTTATCTCTCAAATGGGAAGGCTGCTACTCTGGAAAGAATGGAATCATCAGTAAAAGAAAAGTCTTTGGACGCCTAAGCTACTGATGGAAGCAGCAAGACAGACTGTGGCTCAGGCATCCTTCTCCATGAGATTTTGGTATAATTGTAATAACATAGTTACACTGTTATCAATCATCTGACATTTCAATGTTTTTTGGAAACTGTGCATCCAGTTCAGCACTTGTCAGAAACACCAAAAGTGGATTAGCATCTAAATGAAGCATCCAGCCATATGGGCTACACTCAATGTTATTCCCTTTATTTCATGAGAAATGTTTCATCCTCCGATCTAACATCTAATACTTATAATGTAAAATTCCACTCCTGTCTAATTCCAATAAAAGATTAGACATATTCTGCTTTTCTTTTACTGTGTTTCTTAAACAACGGAAGGAATTTCACTTCTGTGGCAGAGAGAGATGATTGACAGCATCTAATTTTGAATATCACTATCACCATAATCAGTTACAAGGATTTTTGCAGCATGTTGGTGACTAAAATCAATATATCTGTCACAGTGGACAGAAGATGGGTCACCACAAACATTAATTTCTCTGAAGCTTATTAAAATAAATCTGATGGAGAGGTTGGACATTGACAAACCACTTTACAACCATGCTCCCAGACCCCAGCCTTTCCCTTTTTGATTTGAATTTCTTGATAAAATTGGTGAGAATAGTAATTTAGTAATCCAGACTTGTAAGCCTAAATTAAACACTTAGAAAGTTTGCATCTTCTCCAGTGTTAGAACAGGCAAATGTTCTGCACAATATGACACACGGGTATACAGAGTTACAAGTCAACGTAAAAAGAACAATCAGTGTTTTTCTGTAGTCTGAATATTTTACATGTGGGAGTCAGGAGCCAGAGATCTACATATAAGTGTACACATGACAAGCATCTAAAACAAGGTTTCACCTGGAAAGGGTCTTGTGTCAATCTCATAGGTCCAAAGTGTACTTCTGTAGATGCAACCTGCTGGAAGAAAAGCAATAATGTCATTAGATTGTTCAGCTTAGAAATAATGTGAATATGCCAGCAAAACATTTGGAAATGTAACTTGTAATTTTGTTGGAAATGAAACATTTTATACTTCATCTTGGTTTACAATCAATTAGACTGTCAACAATTAGTATATTATTATAGATTTGCATATTTATTAATTGGTAGCATCAATGTTCAAACACCTGCAAAGTCATCTGTTATTAAAAGACACACTTCAGGCTCTAGTGTTCCCAGTGCAGGTTGCTGTGAACACATATTGTGAACATAAGGGGCGATGTTTCATCCAGTCATTTTAATGGCTGCAAAATTGTAGTGAGGGGGTGTATACTCCTCGCACATGAATCTCTGCACTGAAAACATTTTCCTTACATCATCAACTCCTACCTTAGGGAAAACATTGAGTTTATTTCATGACACATCTTCATACCAAAACTAGGTGAGAACTACTAGGACTGCAGTGTTTTGTGGGCATGAGGAATAATACTATAATTTAGTTTTATAAGTTACTCGTCATTCTGCTCAAAGTGATTGAAGAAAAAACAATGTTATGGAAAACAAGTTAAAAAAATCAACATCAGACACACTTCAACAAGAAGTACATTACTTCAAGAACAAAGTGTACGAAGGCCAAATATTTAAGCTTCTGCTTTTGCAGTTCAACAATGTGTGTCTAAAAGCAAACAAGTATCTCTACTTCGTTAGAGATAACAAAGTGTAGAGGTGGATGAACACAGCAGGTCAAGCAGCATCATAGGTGCAGGAAGGCTGACGTTTCGGGCCTAGACCTTTCATTAGAAAAGGGTCTGAAGAAGTGTCTAGGCCCGAAACGTCAGCCTTCCTGCTCCTCTGATGCCGCTTGGCCTGCTGTGTTCATCCAGCTCTACACGTTGTTATCTCAGATTTTTCAGCATCTGCAGTTCCTACTATCTCTCTACTTCATTGTTGTGTTTTGTTAACATAAATTAATCTCAAAAGAATGAAAATGGCTTTCATGATTATAACTAAGGCACAAAAATGCTAATTTAAGCTCAACTGCACTTTAATCTTGATGTCAAGTGTGGGGATAGTATTGTATTACATAAGTTCCAAAAACATTTTACATCGCCAAACTTCTTTAAATGCAGAACACCCATTTGAAATTCATAGGTGGCTGTACACAGTGGTTTCTAATTGATTTGCGGTTTTATATGTAACTGCCAGACCGTTTCTGTGGCTGGGGAAGGACCGTATGGAACGGCCATTGAGAGCTGGTATAGGTTCCAACTGGACACTAACCCCGAGCACAGAAAATCAGCCACCTTTCACAGAACCTTCCCATTCCGTTCTATTTAGTTCAACAGACTGAAAATCAGCCATGTCCTACAAAGATCATGGGACCATCTGCAGCTAGTGCTGGTCGCTTGAGGCTCTGAGTTGATGAGCTGGAGCCTGAGAATCAAACACCAAGACACATTAGAGGGGGAGGGGGGGAGAATTACCTGGACGCTGTGTTTCATGAGGCAATCACACTCCTTAGATTAACTACCTCGAATTCAGTCAGTGGTCAGGGACTGGAGGCTGTGACTAACAGCGAGGCAGGTAGAGGGATCCAGGAGGTAATGCTGAAGGAGCCTCAGCCCTTGAGCTTGTCTAACAGGTTTGAGATTCTTGTTCACTGTGTGGACAAAAGCAGAGGCTGTAGGGAGGATTAGTCAACTGACCATAGCAGAGCATAAAAGCAAAAGGAAAAGGAGACAATAGGATGAAGATTGGTGGGAAGCCAGAGGATTGGGAAGACTTTAAAAACCAGCAGAGGACAACTAAAAAAGCAATAAGCGGGGAAGAAGATTAAATATGAGGGTAACCTAGCTAGTAACCTAAAAGAAGATTGCAAGTGTTTTTCAGATATATAAAAGGTACGAGAAAGGAAAGAGTGGACTTTGGGTTGCTGCAAAATTAGGCTGGAGAAGTAATAAGAGGAACAAAGAAATGTGGAATAACTGAATAGGTAACTAAATAAGACACCAGTACAAAACCAGAACTTCAACAGAGTCAGGGGCAGAGGTCTGTATATTGGTCACCACTGAGCAGAAAGTGCAGGTGAATAAATCACCTGGACCAGATGGACTATGCCCCAGGGTTCTGAAGGAGATAGCTGAGGACATTGTGGAGGCATTGTTGGTGATCTTTCAGGAATTACTGGCGTCAGGGAGGGTCCTAGGGGACTGGAAAATGGCTAATATAACAAACCTGTTTAAGAAAGGATGGAGGAAGAAGGCAGAGAGTGGGGATAAAGGGATCTTTTTCAGGATGACAGCTGGTGACCAGTAGAGATCACAGGGGTCAGTGTTGCGACCATACCATTCGTGTTATCATTAACGATCTGGATGAAGGAACTGAGGGCATTGTTGCTAAGTTTTCAGATGACATGAAGATAGATGGAGGGGCAGGTAGTGTTGAGGAAACAGGGAGGCTGCAGAAGGACTTGGACAGGCTAGGAGAGTGGGCAAAGAAGTGGCAAGTGGAATACAATGTGGGAAAGTGTGAGGTTATCATCTTTGGTAGGAAGAACAGAGGCATAGACTATTTTCTAAATGGGGAAAGGCTTCAGAAATCTGAAACACAAAGGGACTTGGGAGTCTAATTCAGGATTCTCCTAAGGTTAACATGCAGGTTGATTTGGCAGGTGGAAGGCAAATGCAATATTAGCATTCATTTCAAGAGGACTAGAATACAAGAGCAGAGATGTACTGCTGAGGCTGTGTGGGACTCTAGTCAGACCACATTTGGAATATTGTGAGCTAAGGAAGGATGTGCTGTGTTATGAAGTAGAGGTCGACCCTCCTCTGATAACTAAAACTGAAACGCCCAGAGAGGTGCATCTTGCCCTATAATCTGTTAAGAGAGCCTCCAATCTGTTATAAAGAAGTAATTAAGTAAAAATAAACCCCTGACACTCTCATTATAATCAACAAGTATGGTTAGCTAACTCTAACAGTGAACAAATTAACTAAACTATTAACAAACTGAATTAACTTCTTCTAACTACTAGCTATTCCCGAATAAAACAAGATAATAACAGTACGCTGTTCCAATAAATACAAGTTCTACTTATATAAAACAAAATTTAAAAAGTTCAAATTTAGTCTCTCAACATTACAGCCAGGTTATGTCTTCCAGAATGTTCTGTGTCTTCTCCGACAAATTCTTCTGTCAGGAATGCCTTCTCAGTTGAATTCTTTTATCAGGAACATTAACCACTTGTGCTGTAGGTACTCTTTAATTTAGATGGAGCTTACTCTAAAGGCTTAGAGAATTCTGTGAAAACCAGTGATACTTTCTTTTAGAGCCGAGAGCTGTTCTCTTGGCATATGACAGTTGGCTCTCACCCAATTTTCCAAACGCCCTCATCTTTTATACCCTTGATGACATATCAATTTCTTACAGAACAATTGGTCCTATGTTGTCAAAACTATCAGATTTAATTTATTTGGTTTTTGGTATCAAGGACCTGGTTTAAATTAATTGGCTCAATTCAAACCTGTTGTCTTGGTAAAAATGCTGCTTTGCCTGCTAACAGCATAGCCTTTTGATACAAATGTTTCAATTCAGATGTTTTGTGCATTTGCAAACCCACAGGCTTCATTTTTTGAATTTCTAAGTGTAGAAAAAGCATATAATCTTTTAAAGGAACCGTGCACTGCTTTCCCCATAGCATTTTACAAACACCAAATTCTAATGTCCTGCCTTCTAATCCACAAGGACTCTACCTAACTTCGCAACAGCTGACATTGCAGGGGGTCCAGAGGAGGTTTACAAGAATGATCCCAGGGATGAAGAGTTTGTCATATAAGGAGCAGTTGAGGACTCTGGATCTGTACTCTTTGGAATTTAGAAGGATCGGGGAGATCTCATTGAAACTTACAGAATACGGAGAGGCCTGAATGGAGTGGACATGGAAATGTTTCCGCTAGTAGAGGAGACTAGGACCTGAGGGCACAGCCTCAGAGTGAAGGGATAACCCTTTAGAACTGAGAGCAGTAGGAATTTCTTCAGTGAGAGGGTGCTTAATCTATGGAACTCATTGGTCCAGAAGGCTGTGGAGGCCAAGTTATTGAGTGTCTAACACAGAGATAGATACGTTTATTGTAAGATTAGTAAGGGGATCAAGGGTTATTAGGAGAAGGCAGGAGAATGGGGTTGAGAAATGCATCAGCCCTGATTGAATGGCAGAGCAAACTTGATGGGCCAAATGGCCGAATTCTGATTCTAAAGCTTATGATCTTATGGTCTTATGGATGTGAAAAAATAAAGAAGGCCTCATGAGACATTCTAAGGTTAACTACTTTATATAATGCAGCACTTTTGTTACAGAGAAGGGAAAGTTAAATGAAAGGAAAGCCCTGATATTCACTTTATAAGTAACAAGTAACAATTTATTTATTTAACCCTAACAGTGAACAAATTAACAGAATTACTAACAAACCGAACAATTCTCCCTTAACTATTAACTATTCTCTAACTGAACTAAATTCTACTGGCATGCTGTTCCAATAAACACAAGTCCCACTTATATAAACCAAAGTAATAAGAAAATAAATTAAAACTTAGTTTCTCAAAGTCTACATGGCTTTCTGCTGTTCTCAAGTCATAAACACCTCTCTTCTGCTGATCCGGCTGTCAGAGATGTTTTCTGTGAGGTCTTCTGTGAGTACTCTTAGCTAGAAGTGCCGTGATACCTTTTATGGATAGATGGTGCTTTCTTAGAGATCTTAGCAATTTTTTTGTGAGATCTAGATGCTTATTTCTCAGATGGCGGTTCGCTCTCACACCTATTTTCAAAAGCCCTCTCCTTATATACCTTGGATGAATTATCAATTTTCTTACTGTAGCATTGGACGGAGATTGTCTAAACCATCAGATTTAAATTCAATTGGCTTTCAATTGCTAAGTGCTTGGTTTAAGTTAATTGGTTGATTCTAGCTATTTG